CACCTCAACACTCTCTTCAGAAGATCAAACACACAAACATCTCTACACTCTCTTCAGAAGATCAAACACACAAACATCTCAACACTCTCTTCAGAAGATCAACACCTGAGAAAATGCACTATTGATAATAAATAATAATTATACACAAAATAAACAGTTAATGCTGTAAATATGAGGAAGTGGAGAGTTTGTACCTGGCACATTTTTCTCAGACAGCAAACCACAGCAGTTCACCATAATGATGCTCTGTGAGAACAAATCAGCTTTTACTGTACATTATATTACATGTAACTTGTGTGTTGCGACATAACCTCGATTAAATTCCAAATAATCCGCTGCAAGATGAAGAACCGCTGTAAGAGTATCAGTACAGTAACATTGTAAACACACGCTAATGTAACCTCTCCGGGCCTAACCGCGCCGCGCCGAGCGGGACTCGAACCCCCGTCTCCGGCGGGCACGCTAACACAGACCGCAGCCTGCAACGTCAGTCGCTAACGGTGCGCTTCCTGAAATCAGCGAAGGGAGCTTTGCCTGCACAGCTCTTACCAGCTGGCCTCCCTTACGAAAAATAACCATGGTTTTACTACAAATAATAATAATAATAAAATGGTTACTATAGTAAAACCAAGGTAACCACAAATCAACCATGATCTTGCTACACTAACCATAGTTTAACCATGGTATTTGTAGTAAAACTGTAGTTATACAAATTTTCGTAAGGGCTCCGTTACACTTAGAAGAATAGCAAGTCTTTAATTTTAAAGGTGCTAATGGGAATTAAAAAACAGTTCATAAGAAACTAGATTAAATCTTACAAAGTGAAAGTAAACATGAAACAAGTCTAACTGCTCTTATAAATCCTCAGTCAGTAAATAAGATGAAAATGTCTTACTGACAGCCTCAAGATGTTTCAGGAAAAATCGGATGATTTGGAGAAAGTGAAACTACTTTTTCTTCTTCTTCTTTCGATTTAGCAAAGCAACATATTGTGCATTTCTGCCACCTACTGACATTAAGTGAAAGCGTGGAGTAAAAACCTTCTATCTTTTAATTAGATTTGTGGCCTTTAAGAATTTTTTTTTTTTTTAACAAAAATTTGATTTTCAAAGATTTTCATACAGGTTAAGACAACAGTTCAATTTGTCATTATAACTGAATATATATATATATATATATATATATGT